AGCTCAAAGCAGAAGTGTTTAGAGTTTTTCCATTTTGTGCTGAGTTAGCTGATCGAAGCGAGGGTAGCATAGTGTCAGGCTGCTACAATTAGCCTCAATGACCACTGAGGGAGGGAGAAAATAAGTCCATCATCTGCTTCTGAGCTCTATCCAGTGACCATTGCTGGAATGTTTGTACATCAGATGAGCATAGGCGTGTTTATTCATAGGTGAATATCCTGCTGGTGTTTCCTGTTTAGGAGCAGACATGAAGTATGGATAATTCAGCAACTGGAGGTCTATGGTCCCAGCACTAGCACTGTGCCCAGCTACAAACAGTGCCTTCGGTGTAGGAAAAGTAGAACATTTTTGAAATGAGAACAAGGGCAGTTCACTTTGCCTTGTAAATTAATGCTGCAGGTCATTTTCATCCATTTTCCTCCATTGGAAAAACACTTAATCATCTGTAGCCTTTACCCTCTTACTATTGGCTGCAACAGAAATCTGTTTACCTCGCTCTCTAGGTGTCATCTTTAGCAGGAAATTACTTATGAGAAGCTCTGAAATTCCATCCCCCAATCACTCCGCCTCGCCCCCTCCTTAGCCTCCTTCAAGTCCCACCTCAAAACCCTCCTCTTCGACCATGCCATCGGTCATCCTCCCTGACAGCAGCTTGGGTCCGAAATGCTGTGCACTGTCCAGTGCCTTGGGACGTCCTCCTGACGTGAAAGGCGCTATACAAATGTAATCTTGTTGTTGCTGTTGTGTGTGAATGAGTTGTGAGTATGAAAGTGTGAATGAGTGTGAGTGTGTGGGAGTGTGTGTGTGTGTGTGTGTGTGCAGGGAGGGGGGTTGAGATCATTAAGTACAGAGAATTGCCACACACTGGATCAGTCAAAACAACACCGGTTAATAAAATCAACTTCTGACACCCACTGAAATGTGATCCAACCCACAAAGTCAAAAACGTTCCAACCTCATGCCTTTATGATCAAGTCACCAGTTGCCTATTTAACTCAAGGGAAGATGAGTTTTTTTCCATCAACTTTGACCAGACAGGGCAGCATAAGGGGATGTGGTGTGCAATTGTGGCTCAATAAGTGCATGATTGAAACTCATTCAGAAACTTTAATAAGTACGTTTTCCACATTCCACATAGGACCACAAGTCGCGTGGATAGAAATGGAAAGCAGTTTTCACTCAAAAAGAAACTGACTAATTGAATGTTTTTTTGGGGTCGGCCAGCAATCCGTCACTCCTCATTATGCTTAGGGTATCCAGACCAGACACCAGTGTTCCACCCACGTATTCAGTGGAAATTCCCCTTTCATCTGGAGTGCAGCCCTCTCTCCTTTGGAGAGATGCACCCTGCTTATCTGATCCAGGAAATATTTAGACGTGGGCTGGTGAGAACCAAGGTGAGAGAACGCTGCAGGAGTTTAACCAGCTGAAACCACCCAGGTCTTGATGGCTCAGAGGAAACATTTCCAATCTTATTCAGGAGTGAAATACAATGGAGCCCTGTTACAACAGTGTTCAGGTTTAATTAAATAACAACAGGGCATGGCAGTGGCTTGGGAAGTTCTCCTGCCGTGAAAGGGTTAATAGAGTGCAATTTGTTTTTGTTCTTGTGCGCTGGCCCATTCCTAACATAATAAAATGACGCAAAGCAGCAAGTAACAACACAACAGCTACAACAACAACAGCAAAATACATTTATAGAGCGCCTTTCACGTCCCAAAGCGCTGAACAGTCAGGTGTCGGGGCCCGAGCATGGGGGAGGGGTAGTGTAGGGGTGAGGGAAGGCAGAGAGGTGGGAGGGAGACTAAAGGCACGGTCGGAGAAGGGTCTTGAGACCGGCTTTGAAGGAGGCAAGGGAGGAAGGGATGACCTTAAAGGCCAATTTGCATGTATATAGTGTCCCTCGTGCAGGGTCACGTCCCAGAGCGCTTAGCAGGAAGTGAACATTGGCGGCAATCTGATGACCTTGAAGTCTACCATTTTGATGTTAGAGATTGGCCAGCACAGTGCAACTGCACTATAATCAGCTTTGCATGATAATGAAGAAGAGGCTTCTCTGGAACTCCATCCCTCTGACGTGTCCACTCCCTTGCCTCCTTCAAGACCTGGCTCAAGACCCTCATCTTCGACTGTGCCTTCAGTCACTCTCCTACCCCTACCTTCCCCATTCTCCACCCCTCCTGATCCCAACCACCAGCTCGGATGTGGACCCCTGATTGTCCAGCGCTTTGGGACATCCTCCTGGTGTGAAAAGCACTATCCAAATGTAATTTTGTTGTTGTTCACAGTACTTAGCTTTTCCGCTTTCTCCCCCCTTCCCCTTCCCATCACGATTGAGAGCTGCTGTAATTGAAATTGATTGAAATACTCTGTCCAGCGCCTTGGGACGTCCTCCCGACGTGAAAGACAGTGTACAAATGTAATCTTGTTGTTGTTGTTGTCGCTATCTTTTGCAATCTCAAACTCAATAGAAAATGTCATTTTAAGATTAATTTTGGGATAATTGCTTGTTATTTGACACCTTTTCTGACTGCGTAGGTCATTATCTTTTTTATCTCCTTTGCTTCCAGCGAATATTCTGTATGTAACAAGCATTTTTGCTGCTTATCAAACAATGGAATGTAAACTTTTGACAACTTTAACAACAATTTAATAACTTTTAACAATAATACTCTGACAATAATCGCTCTATATTAATTTGATATTTGCATAGTTCCATAATTCCACTACCACCCATCCCCATGGCTTGTTGAACAAGCTTGTCAACCTAGTCTCATAACACATGGAACTATGAGAGTTTTTGCCTCCCAGTCACCTGGAGCTGTCTATCCCACTTAATAATAATAATAATAATAGTAATAATAATAAGCCTTGCATTTGATATAGAGCTTTATCACATTGTCAAGACATCGCAAAGCGCTTCACAGGATATATTGTAAAGTGGATCTGACTGGATATTTTATGTTATTGTCCTGTAAAGGTCCTCCCACCTTCAGGCAGATGTCCGCCAGATAGCTGATGAGGAAACTCTGAGGTTTGGGGCAACAACTGCTGGAAGGCTCTATCTGGAATCCGAGTTCGTGAACATGCGTTTGTGTGTGAGCACCTGGAATCTGCGCTGGGTGATAGCCTGCATGGGTGGGGGGTGGTGGACCTATATAAATGCAAGTTGTTGTTGTTAGAATCCACCTCAATTGGCTTGCACTACTGTTTAAACTCTGTGATGATCAGGACAATGGGAAGAAAATTGTGTCTGATCTGCGGACAATAAAATGGTCTTAGCGCTCTCACGCATTTCATACTGAGCTGTCTAGCCCACCAGGAAGCTGGCAGGGAGTTCCTGGTACCTACCATCCACCTTGAGCGGGCTCAAACCTGCATTTGTTGGATGTGAAACAACCAATTATCATCCTTGGGAAGTAAGCGGGGTCTCCTTGGAGCTGAACTGGTTCCCAGGTGACATGCTTGGCCAAGGAATGTTGGAATCGAGTGGCGGTCTCTAATATGGTTCCAGAAGCAGGCAGGTCCGCAGTATTCCAGGGCACTGCTGATGACAGCACAGCCAGCCTGGCTCATTGGCAGGACTTGGATGATGGATGGCAGATATCCTATGAGCTTCACAGTAAGTTACGTTATTTTGCAACCACTTGCTGTGGTTCTGCAATTGTCCTGAATCAGTGTCGAAAAAACATTGCAGTGTTTTGGAAACAAGTTTACTTCTCGACCGTGCAGTGACAGCAGCTGGTAGCGATATGTTGTGAACTTTTGGAATTTCTCATGAACGCATTATTTATTTGAAAGGCACGCAATAGCTGATGGTAAAGATTGAAGGTGTCGAAATGATTATGTGCTGCCGTACACTTCGTCTTTTTAGCCTGACTGCATGCTCGCCTCTGAGTCAGAAGATTGTGGGTTTAAGCTCAGGACTTGGCTCACACTCAGTACAGTGTCAGGGGATGTACTGCATTGTTGGAGGAGTGGTTGTCTGACGGAGGTCCAGTCTTTGTGTTCAGGTGGATGTCCAAGATGCCACAACACTATCAGAAAAGAGAAGGGAGTTTCTCTGTCCCAGTGTTCTGGCCATCGATCCCCCCGATAAAATTGGTCATTGATTTCAGGTCTATTTCGGGGACGTCACTAGGCGCAAATTGGCTGCCGCGTTCGCCTCCAAAATACACAGGCGCTACACTTTGCAGTGCATCTGCGAAGTGATTTGGGACATTGCCCTGACGTGAAAAGCGCTACACCAAATGCAAGGGTTAATATTCTTACTATCATTGCTGCACTTTGCTGATATTCTGCAACTTCCTACAGTGAGCAACTCTTCCTGGAAACAATGCCAATATCAGGACATTTCGATGTTCTTGACAGTGGAGCCATAACTCCACAAAATACATGCAAACTGCACATAGTAATTTGACATATATATCGATGCACCCCCATCTCAATGCCCTCCCTAAATTATGTGCCCAATCTAAAATTCACCTTTCCTCTGTAAAGCACAGAATTTCAAGCTGTTTGCAGACATATTTGGAACGCTTGCCTCACACAGTATTTATTCTCTTTGAGCAAATTAGGGATTTGTTGAATGAAGCTTAGCCTACATTTGCCACTTAAGCTCCCAGATTCATTTCCTCCCAGTTTTGTTCAACCAAGCTATTATGTGAACTTTGAAAGTAGAAGGTTATCTTACGGGGAGATTGAATTTTTGCCAAATATGTACAAGTCAAATCTGGCATTGTCTGATCAGTTCCTTAAGAAGATCAAGTTTCAGCTTCATTTTTGTTATAATACATAATCCTTGCATTTGATATAGCACTTTTCACGTCTTCTAGGCGTCTCAAAGCACTTCACAGAATATGATTGTACATTTGAACTCAGCAGCCAATTGCACACAGCAGTGTCCCACAAACAGCCATGGATTGAAGTGACCAATTTACTATTTATTTTCTTGAGGGATTATTATCAGGCGTGTGAACTAAGGAAACTTGCCCAAGGTTTTACTCTGCTGGGAATTGAACCCAGGGTTTCTTGCTTATGAGGCAAGTGCTCTGTCCACTGAGCTACTTATTGAGGAAGTCCTTTTATAGCTATTTATTTACCACAGCGCGTGTGGTCTCTGTGATGATCAGAGAAATATCTTACAGCCACGAATGATTCAGAGGAAAGTACGATGACAATGCGATGAGGTGGATAGACATTTGTTTTGTAAGGGTATCCAGGGGTATGGGGAAAGAGCAGGTCATTTCAATGCGCTCTGAGTGTGAGGACAAGCTGGTGTTGCTGTAATTGGAGTTGAGGTACAGATCAGCCATGATCTTATAGAATGGCAGAACAGACTCAAGGGGCTGAATGGCCTACTCCTGTTCCTATGTGTTATTGAAGTTCTGACAGCATCTCCTATGCTTCCGTTTTCAGACATTTGTAGACTAGGCCATGTTTAGCCCCAAAATGAGAATACAAGTTGTGTGTTGGCAAAATTCCAAGTGCATTGTAATGTAATATTGCTAAGTCAGTCAATAAAAAATGAGTCCTAGAATATCAACAAGATATGTTTACATGTATCTGAAAATCCTCCTGTTGCATAATACCTGTATTTTATACTAATGCAACCTCAAGATATTCAATCGTGACCTATTAAACCTTTAACATATTATTGTTTATGTGTTGGGCTGAACATAGTATGAGTAATCGATCCGACAGTAATTTGGGCAGTAGCAACAACAACTTCCACTTATATAGCGCCCTCCATGCAGGGTAGCGTCTCAGAGCGCTTAACAGTGGCGGAGCCTGACTTTGAGCTGGGGGGAGGCAGAAGGTGGCCGTAAGCACGGTTGAACAGGAAAGTTTTCAGGCAGGACTTGAAAGAGGGGAGAGAGGGGGCAAGGCAGAGGGATTGAGGGAGAGTGTTCCAGATTTTTGGGGCGTATTGGCTAAAAGCACAACCTCCAATGGTGGGGCGGAGGGTTCGAGGGGCGAGCACGAGACCGGTGCCAGTTGAGCTGAGGCGCCGGTGGTGGATTGGGGAATGAGGCGGTCGGAGAGGTAGGGAGGTGCCAGGGAATTAATGGATTTGAACATGAGTGTGAGGATCTTGAAGTCGATCCATTCGGTAATGGGGAGCCAATGGAGCCTGGGCCACAACTGGTGGAGATAGCATGCTAGTGTGAGAGATTAGAGGGATCGAGGGGGGATTTCTTGAGTGATGACAGCGGTTTTCAGGGGGAGTGGAACAGAACCTGAAGAGAGAGACTGGTTGACTGTGTCAGCAAACAAGGGGGAAGAGAAGGGGGAAATTGAGTGACCAGCAGTTGGGTGGAGAGGAGGTCGAGATAGCAGGTGATGAACTTCCTCTTTGTTTGTGTCAGTACTTCTCAGATCTCACTTATACGTAAAATGGGATTAAATCTTCCTCCTGAGGCCAAATTTCTCACACAAAGTATTGCAGGTGGGTCACTGCGGGAGGTTCTACCTTCCGTAAATCTAAATGCCATTCAGTGTTTACCGATAATTGTTCACAGGTTGATGGAAAGGGGTCAGTGACAATCTTCAGTAATGCACTTCCTTTATGGAAACTTCGCTAACTAGATCAACAACTTGCATTTATGTACGCGTAAAGTCTTGGAGCACTTTACAGAGGCAGAGTCACAGGCCGAGCAAGGGAGGGTGACTGTAAACGTGGTCAAAGTGGTAGGTTTTAAGGTCAGACGTAACATCGGATAGGCTGCAAACTGATGTCACGTCAGACGTGAATGAAATCTAAACAAGCTCTTCAGAAATGCTTGTTTTGGGTTGAGTCGTCAAAGTCAAGATTTTTTGCTTTACATTTTTTGATTAAAATTTTTTTGGGGGAAAAAATCCAAAACCAATATCCAATTCCTGCATTGGCTTGTGCCGTCTTTGGGAAAGATGCAAAAAAATGCATCCAAATGCTTAAAGGTTTTACTTGGCATTAGAGTCAGATTCGGACAGCACCTTGGCACGTCCTCCTGACATGAAAGGCGCTATACAAATGTAATTTGTTGTTATTTGTTGTTTTTTTATATACCTTTCGTAAGGTCCTTTGTTCAGGTGTTAAGGATTCCTTGGCACTACTCATTAGAGAAGGGAATTTCTCATGGTCTCCTGGCCAACAATTCCCCCATTAAGTGGTCATTCACTGCATAGCTGTTTGTGGAGCATTGCTGTGCTCACCTTGTCTTCTGCGTTCGCCAACAAAAACACAGACCCGCACATTACAGTAAATCCTGTGAAGCACTTTGAGACGTTTCAACGACTTGATAAGACACTACATCAGATGTAAGGATAATTTATTATTATTATAGACACAGTCGCTACAATTACAGTAAGATCCTATGAAACACTTGAGACGATGTGCTATATAACTTGCAATGATTATTATTATTATTGATATATTCTTAAATATATGACTGCTAAATGTCTTGCTCTGGAACCATATGACTATTCGAAAGGCGAAATAGTGTGCTGTTTGACAGCACTACGAAATTTGGGTTTTCCCTCACATAAGAAATCGATTGAAGTGCCACTTGCAGTTTGCTTCAATTGGCAAAAGGAGTTCAAATTCACTCTCAAGATTACAGCAGCATTACTGAGAAAAGAATCCGATCCTTTTATCTTCTGATCATCTCCTGCTGACATTGTGAAACTTTACGTGAAACTAATTTCAATGTTCTCTCTCTTGAAAGCTGCAATTATTTTGACCTTGGGGGCTTTTCTTGCAGTCATTTGCTAAATGCAAGTAATGAAAAGCACCTGTTACCAGAAGAAAGAAAGGATTATTTGCCTCTTTTATTTCTGTCCTTCCTTCCCTGAAGTCTGTGTGTATTTCCTGGTGTATTCTACAGTTATCAACCTACTTGATGGCAATGTGTGCTTGTTTTGGTAAGACTGAACACTCCCCAATTGAAAACAAATTCTCCTCTGTCGTCACTGGCCTCCTCTTCTGTTCTGAACCTCACCCTCTCTGTAAATTTCCTGACCCACAAACATGGCCACCACCCTCGAACTCATTACCACTCACGGCCTTGACAGCTCTGACCTGCCCACCACAGACAAAGCCATCTCAGACCAGTCCCTCATCCCCTCTTACAAGCCCACCTTTTACCTTCCAGCCGCTACCACTCCTCCCTCCCTACCCTCCTTTCACCTGATTACTCTCTTCTCAACCACCTCTCCCAGATGAAGCCCTCCACCTGCTGCCTCGACCCCCTCCCCACCCACCTGCTGGTCAGCCAGCTTCCCCCACTTCCTCTCCCTGCTGTTGCCCGACACAATAGGTTCTGTTCCTCTTCCCCTTAAAACCACTGTCATCACAACCCTCCCCCAAAAAAACACCATCGACCCCTCCAACCTCACAAATTATTGTCCCATTTCCAACCTGCCCTTCCTTGCCAAAGCTTTGGAATGAGTTGTCGCTAACTAGCTTTGCTCACACCTCTCTCTTCACTCTCTCCTCGAGTGACCAGTGCTCCCTCTGCCTCCTTGACCCCGCCAGCCTCATCCGCCACCTCTCCTCCATCATCCACTTCAGTGGTACTCACCAGCCTGATTCGAGTCCTATCTAACAAACTGCCTTCACTTTGTCTCTTCAAATGGTTTGTCCTCGCGCCCTACCTGCACCTGTGGCGTAGCCCCAGGGCTGACCCTCCTTATTCCGCCTCTTGGTTGTCCCTGCCTACAGTCACAGCTACGTTTTTCTTATTGCCTGGGGTACCTGGGTGTACAATGGGTCCTGTAGATGGCTGCACTTCAGCTCTTTGAAGCCCAGCAATGTCTCTGCCTCCTGCTCTGCTGCTACACCATCTCCCTGACCTTCCAGAGGGTTAATTTTAAGCTGAAACGTGGGGCTGATGGGCTGCATTAAAGATGTCACAATTCTTAGTGTTTGCGTGGAACAAGCTGAACTTTCATTGCTGTTCGAAATCGGAATGCGAATGAACATACAATGACCTCACTGAGATGGCTGTGGCATTCAAGAAGTGTTCAGATTCCTTATGTGTAAGACTGCATGACAGCCCACAATGACTGGCAATGCTTGCTTTTAATATCGACAGCCTCAGACAGTGAAGCTTCCTCTTTCATTAAAGAATGTGCTTCTTCAGGGTGAAGTAATCTGTAATTGTATGCAAATAAACCTTAGCAGGATTCCGGAGTTGGTAATGGACAGAGGAGATAAAAATAATAATAATAATAATCCTTGCATTTGATTTGGTGCCCTATCATGGTTTCTAGACGTCTCAAGGAGCTTCACAGAATATACTGTCAAGTGAATTGACTGTATATATTTTGTGGGTGAAATGCAATAAAAAAAAATTTTTTATTTTACAATAAAATGTTTTTTGTTAGGCTACCTGTTCAGGTAAATATGCCACGGCAATCCTCGAAAAAAGACGGGATTTCTGCCGATGTCTGTGCTAACCTCGCCTCTGCTTTTTTTTAATCATTTAATGTTTTGCTAACTTGTTTGGGATTTCTCCTGAATGGTCAAGAATGGTAATTCACTGTTTAACATCTTGTCAGGCTTCTTCTTTCATAGGGTCTTCCAGTGACCACTGAAAATGGATGGATGACTTACCACAACCTATTACTCCCACTGTGCCCTACCTTCAGTCATTGGACAAGCCTTCAGCCATTCTGCCTCTGCTATCTGCAGATCAGTCAATTCACTTCATGACTGTTTGTGGACTTTGCTGTGTTATAGGTTGGCTGCCAACCTTGCCCACAGATACACAGTCACAACACTTTACAGTAAAAATCCTGTGAAGTGCTTTGAGATGTTTCAATAAGACGCTATCTCAAATGCAAGGCTCATTATGATTCATGTTTTGTCAACAGTTAATCATCCCGGAGTTCCTCTGCCTTGCCCCCTATCTCTCTCAGTATGTTCAAAACCCACCTTATATAATTCATCTCACCAACTATGCTTTTGGCCAAGTTCCCTTTCTCTCCCGTCACCGCCCCCATCCCACACACAAACTGGGCCCCAGTCAGTTGTACAAAGCACTATGATGATGTCCTCTCAAAGTGAAAGCTGCTATGTAATTGTGGTG